CCAAGTTGCGACAACGAGGTCAACCCACTTGCTCAGCTTCTGTCTTCCACTTCAGAACACCGTTAGAGCCCGGAAGCATTTTAAACGCAATAATCAAAGACATTCTGCCATCCTTTTATGATGGGATCATCGTACGAATCTCAGAATGACATTACTTTGCAAAATATGTAAGTAAACATTGCATCTGAAGGCTCATCCACACCCATTTTCCCTTCCTATAATGAAGAAGAAAGATCACAACAACATAACAACACAAATCGAAAGAAGACTGCGACCATACCAGAGGCCACAACATCTTGGTCTTCATAGCTTCATAATACTTTCAAGTTTGCCTTCCATTTACAGCTTTGATTTCTGAGGGTCGCATCTACCCGGTGGCCCAGTGGCATTTAGGGCAGTATAGCCACTTAAAACACACCCGATAGATTCAAGTTCCGCAGGGCGTGTGTTGATGAGACGGTGCAATGAAGTCGAGATGCCCGTCAAGTTTGGATGAAACGTGGAATGATTGCTTCTTTGTGCCTACATTAGCGTATGAAGGTCCCATGAAGGGGTTTCTTAGTTTTCCGACCCAAGTTATTCAGTCCATTGTCTCTCTCTCCTACGACAGAAAGTGCCAAGATTATCAGCCAATCCTTCCAGGCACACGTTACCAAGGCGACTCGCTTAGGCTGACATTTTACGACTGATATAAGAACGTAGATTGTGTGGTCTTTTGTCTGGTTTCAGTTGCCTTATGATGCACAGACTTTATTTGACTTGATTTAAATTTATTTTCGGAGTGAATTAGTTTGACACTATTTCTTGTCATCTTCTAGCACTGACTCAATTGCTAGGCATATTCGACAGCTTCATTTCGCTATTCACTTTAACTACTTGTAGCTTTTGGCTAAAGCTGGTCCTACCTATAAAGTGTATAGGATTGGAGCCAAGCAGAAGTTCTCTTGCCGGAAGAGTATATGGAAACCACAGCAGAGTGTAAGTTAAGGGAAAATGTCTTTGAAGTCTACATAAAAATATTAATTATTTAACAAAACGAGACGGCTCAGTTGATGCCAAAAATATGCAACATTTAAGTTTGAAACCGATTAATCTGGTTCAAATTGGTTTCGGGTCACTGAAGCTCTTACAAGAGATCTTGCATGGCCTCCAAATGGAGATCTCCGCCATGAACAGGCCTCACAATCCGTTTTAAATGCGCCTTGAGCCTTCAAGAATTACTGAAATTCTAGAATGCTATACGCTTTGTCAACTATCTGATACAGTTTGCCGAAATTCAAACTACTCCTGATTGCCAGCTACATGTAAAGCCTCGATTTAGGAAAGTAATCATTTCGGTTGATGGAGAATTTCGAAGATTCTTGCTTCTATAGATGCTATTATTGTAGTAGAGAAAGTATGCTATTACTCTGCTTTGACAGTTGGTCAGGCTGAACGCATAAGAGTGACTCGACAATTGTGTAATCATTAAGTTTTTCACACAGGATGCCATAGGAGTTCACCACATCACACCTCGCAGGAGGTCTTCTCGTCCCGACTTTATTGCGGTTTCAACCTTGCTCAAGTCGGCTTTCATAACGAGATTGGAAACCGGACTGTACGCATCGTGGTGACACGAGGTCATCACTCCTCCAGTAGATCATATGGCAGATGCGGCAGGTCAGGAATCCCTTAAATCACAATACATGTGGCAGCATACATTTGCTAGCACACTGTACAACACTGCAACTAGTCACTGTTAGTAGCCTTCAGAATTAACAAAATTTCAGTCAGCTGATTGAATGACAAATTTGTTATGCAGAAATCGTTGACAGTTTGTAAGACTACTTACAACGAATGCGAGTAGTACTTGGAGTGCGTTAAACTGTGCTTCATGCATCGGCATGTCCTTCGAGGCAGACGTTATCGGATTGAGCGTTTTGGTGGGAGAACTCGACCGATTGACGGGCGAGGACGGCGACAAGGGGGCAAAGCGAGGCCCAAGTTGCGGGCGATTGAGCCGAAATTGAGGCTGGAGTCCCCCAACAAATGGGCATTTCTCGCAGAGATTTGCATTAGTTGCCGCGACGAATGTCAGTCAGTCACCGGGTCCACAAACACAAACAGCATTCCCTTTTATTTCGCGACAGTGCATGCCGGAGAATGGGAGTAGTATCGATTCCATGTAACCGTTGGGTAAAAGGCCGTTTCCATCATGTGGCTTGTGCCCAGCTCACGTAACCTCCTGCATTGTGGACGACGAGAGGGTATAAATAGGGAGAATGACTAGAGGAGAGGGCACGTGAAAAGTAAGCGTTGGTTTTCCGTTTCTCCTCAAAACGCAACGGGGCCGATTTAATAGCTCAATTAGTTTACACATTATCATTGATGCGCTAAAATAAAGGCCATTTGCCAGCAGACATGTCCGAGGAAGAAATGGATGAATGGAAAAATAGCCAAGTCACGGCACACATAAGACCTGCCCATCCTCAAATTCGCCCACCCTCCCTCCCAGCCAACTAGTCATATTGACATTCATCCACCAAGCCGGCTCTATCAATAGCCAATCTTACTCTTAAACGCATAACTCCCCAAATAAACATCTACCAATGTTACTTACTATTGACTTACTATTTTAATTAAATTACGACTTACTTGCCAACCTGCCTAAATATCTAACTACCTAGTCACTTACCAAAATTCCATCCCTACCAATCGGCCTATCTATTCACCGACTAATATATTTGTCTTTCTATGTACATATTCACCTCCATATGAAGATACATACCAACCTATCAACTAGCGTAAGTAACTGCCTACCAACTTGTATGTCTATTTACCTTTAACTCACCTAGAAAGCCACCTATCTACCTACAAAACTGAAAATCACACTTTCCGCCCTCTCCCCTATATACAGATATGTCTACCTAACTACCTACCGACACATGCACACACGCAACAGGCTTTCAATTCTGCCTGCCATTCCTTTATCCTACCCAGCTAGCTACCTACTTACTTAAAAGTATACCCAACACATCTACGACCCTTCCCAACCGCACAATTATCGAACTTCAAAAACTGCAAGTTAGCCTATGTTCAAACCTCAATGCTAACATATCCTCAAAAATCCCAACTTACCATGCATTCACTCATACATGAATACAGATATGCATACATGCATACAGACATTCTTATATACATATATATTTACATACATACATACCCACTTGCCAAGTGACCTCTATTATATTTCACTGTCCATTTCTCCCTCCTCATTCACTTCCCTGTCTACCTAATTTCCTGTTTTCCCATGTACTTTCTGAATCAAATTTTTTTCTTTCTATTTTATTTCCACTCTAAACTTTCTTTTACCCAATAGATTAATCCGCATTTATATTTGCCTTAGTTACGATTTACCTACTTCATTATTCTTTTATTTTCACATTTGTTTATAATCGTCTATTTGTGATCTACGTTTGCAAGTGCCTACTCGTTCACTACTTATTAGGTTGAGAGTAAAGTTCATGCATCTCCCCCTGCTGAGTTGTCTCCCTCTTCAAAAGGTAATCATCCTCTTTTCTTTGTTATCGTAGTCAAATGGGTCGCTCCCAGTCCTTGGTTAGTCTTATTTGACATGATCAAATATAGCAACATATCTTTTCTGTTGGACAGGCCCTTATCGGTCATCTGTGCCATCATTTGTGAATTTCTAAATAGAACTATTTTTTAAAAGATTATATCCATCTCCACCTCAGCCAGTGAGGGATTGTATGCCTAAAGCCCACATTTTTACTGTTTCTCCATTTACTGTTTTTTTCCTGACATGTAGGGACATTATATTCAGATTCCCTTTCTTCCTAGTTCTTTGCGATCGGCCTCTTCATTTGTCTTCCCACTAAGTCCCAACTAGCTGTCCCACCTTCATACCGTTTTGTTTTTCTATGTGTATATGCTTTAACGTTCGGGGATGAAAATGATTTTTATTCGGCTTTAAAGTCAAATTGCCCTCTGGGAGTTGAATGTCATTACTTTAGAACAGAACTGGGCAAGATTTCTCTCAAATTCCTATATTCACATTCGATGAAGATTTAAGAACTACCAGTAATTCTTGCAAAATAACTGAATCTTCCTAAGTTGTTAGTGGTGGTACAGCGAGAAGGCTTATTAGGAGTCAAGGTTATATGTAATTTCATCATATTGTGAGGCATAATCATTTTAATTTGGGAAATTTTCATCTTAACCAACCTATGATTACTAAGTTTTTATCCATTTGCATCCCAAGAGTATGATATGCTTGAGTTCAACATTTCTGCATTCGTCTACCAGGCGTAGAAAATCGTCATTGTCTCACCCTTACCACTGACCTCCAGGGATTGTGCAATGTAGTATACCGTACACACGTGCGGGAATACGTTTTAATTTCGAAGAAAAAGTTGTCTGGGAGGAATTTGTAAAGTTGTTCCACCGGAGAGCGAAGGAGGATTGCCTTGGAGGGGGGACCCGTCTTGTCCTCCTGCAACCCCGTGCAACTGGTGCTAACCGTTCGTCTGTCATTTTATAGACATCGTCAGAGTGTGACCATTTAACGAATGTCTACCAACAATAAATTATTAAGAAATGCGTTTAAACTCAGTTTTTCTTCATATATACGATGAATACGCTGGTTTTTTACTTCAACTTTATGGTATGATATTCTGCCAATCAAGTCTCACATTACCATTATTATGATTCCAGGCCGCAGATTTGCTGCTTGGACTGATTTGCAACATTGATTTCCTTTATATGTGCATTCATGCAGGTGATCTTCTGCCGTTTTGACAGCAAAGGATGTGAAGACACTAATGCATAATTGGTCTGAACGTCACCTAATTAATCTTAAACCAATTTCGCCGAAACGCTCTTTAGTGAAAAGGTTACTGATAACGTCTTCGTTTTCAGTCTTTCTGCATCTGTGGCTCGTGCCTTAGTTTTTCTCACTCATGTCTAGTCCAAATACAGGAATGAGGCTACAGCAACACAAGTTGCATTACTGCAAAACACTTGTTTTGAAACTTATAAGCAGATCTTGCATAAGAAGTTGAGTTATCCCATTTCGCAGAGAGTCGTCCAAGGACTAAGGGTTAACTTTCCTTATGATGACATTGAATTCTACTTAACATTACGTCCAAAAAGGTATTACCATCCAAATTGGACTACAGTTTTGACCTCGTCTGGGTCTGATCAGTACCTGCAATAGGGCTAGGGCAAGTCAGAGTATAATTTATGATGAGATTGTGGATGGGACGAGCTTTAGTTTGCCCTTACAATCAACGACATTACACTATGCAAAATGAGTGTGTAACAGTGAATAAGCCTAGTTGGTCGATTGATGACATTACATCCGCACGTCCTGGGTAGGAATCCTATCTGGATGGAAAAGGCTAAAAAATGTGGTCTATAAGTAAGTAGGTAAGTAATACTTAATATAAAGTATTCCCCTTGATCCATCGTGTGAATTGCACATTTAATTGCGTTCCTGATTGCTTCGAGCTGCTATCTTTGGTTTCCTATATTTGCTTACACATGAACTCACCTACACACATGCTTCCAGATGTGAATATGACATAAACCAACAAAGTCAGTCCACAAATCACAAAAATTCATCGGATTAGGTTACATGTATAGCATGTAAATATAAGCTGGTGAGGTCTCCTTACTCCCCAGCTTGGAGAGCTGGTAAGAATGATATCCTTCACTTAGTTTGAGGAGAAATAGGTGTTAAGAATATGAGAAAATTTTGAATAATAACTTGTTTACTCTATATCTCTCAACCTTAGTTCCCATACAAGTTTGATATTTGGCTCAAAAGACTCCATTAAAGCCAAAAGTTAGCTGACAAAAATTACTAATTTGTCGTCGTTTAGTGTTATTCACTTTACAATCTCTTCATGACACCTTTTCATTCGAAGTAAAAGTGACCTCAATAGTATTGCTAATAGGTCCCTGCATGTTTGCGTTGAAGCTCGTCGGGAAAAGTCAAAACTGTGGTCTATTCCGGACAATAATTCGCCTTCTTGATGCGTGGAATGGTTGAATTTCTTGTTGAAGTAACAGTATCTCCTCTGTTTACTCGTGCAAAATGTGGATTTAATGGCTTAAAAACTGGGGTGATTAATGATGCACCTCTACGGTTTTATAAGATGCACTGATATTGAAAAACTTCGTTGAGAAATGACTCTTTTATACGTGATAATGGCATCTCCAATATTCATGATACTCCACTGGAGACTGGCTTTTGCTGGACAATATTTCTGTAGGCTCCGTTCACATGACATAATCTGAAATGTAGTCCGTAAACTAGTAGTTGGTCTGACCAGGTCTGTCTAATTGACGGCCAAATGGAAGTTTTCTTTTTCAAGTCGAACCTTTTAAGATATTTTGCTGATCAAATACCAAGTAGATTCAATTAAAGACGGAGATACTAGATAAGCTGAAATATCAGTTGATTCGAAAAAGGCCTATCTGGAAAATGTTTTAAATTATCTCTTAGACTACGATGACGCAGATTTTCTTGTTATTCTAACGTGAAATCTCTAATTCAAGGCGATTCTCCAAAAGTGGTGATGGTAAAAGCGAGGTGCGAAAATACTTTATACCCTGCCTTGCAACAAATCTCACATCTTTCTCTTTTCCTGTAAAGGTACCTTATATAGG